TCTCTAATGAGCTTTGTGACTTGAAAAAAATTACTTCACCTCTCAGGGTTTACAGATTCATCTGTCGAATTTAGAAGGATGGGCCAGATGGCCTTTCAGGACTGCCAATACTAATGTAGTGTCAGTTTTTTAAAAATATGTTTGTGAACTATTACTGATTTTCTTCTCTTAGTTTTAAATCTGCTACAGAGTACTGAAACCTAAGAGAAGGTAGGCTAGAAGAGGAACAAGGTATAAATTTTATTCACAGATGACTCAAAATAAACTGATATATTAAATTGAATTGTATGTTATATGAAGTGAAAGGAGGTACCCATTTAGTGTTAAAAATTACTCATTTTTACTATAAGAAGAGGTTGTGTTGATATAACCAGATGCACCCTTGAGTCTTCTGTAGAAGGAATATTTAAATGTTAAAAAAAAAAAATCCCAAACTGTTAGAATAATTTTTAATTTTTGGTTTCTGCTTTATATAGAAAGATTGTGAAGACATCAAATTATGTGCAAGGAATCTCATGATCAGTCATCTTTATAAAACCATTTAATTTGCTCTAGTTAGTACAGTCTGTGAATCTTTCAAACACAGTAGAGACAGCTTTTCAAATAGCAATGGCATCTGTATTATATGAATTCAGCTCACTCACTTTGCAAATGCAGTGTCCTTCCTACCTCTAATGGCATATTTTATTGGCAAAGTACAGATTTTTAGATGTTCTCTAGCCAGTTCTACAGCCGGTTGTGAAGAAAAATAACATTCCATTCTAATTCCTGAAATAATTACTTCATCTCCTACAGCACCAAATACCTTTTTATCCTTTTCAGTTAATAGGCAGAGCATCATATGTTGTCATTTATCATGAAATTCAATAGCTTCTTTTCAAATTTAGCTATGATATTTGACATTTATCATTCAGAACAGTGACAAGAATAATAACAATAATGCTGCTGCTGATGATGATGAAAACTCTCTCCTTTCCTAAATATTTTTGTACTTTTTTCTGTAGTTTAGTTGTTTTTGCTGTATTGCAGACATACTGAATGATTATTCTAACCATTTTGATATTGATTGTTAATGAAAGAAATGTAGG